TACTAACCTTTTGATATTCTCATTCATTCGCACAGAAATTCTATCCACACTCGCACAGCTCGCCCACGAAGAATTGTTTAAAATAATGAATTTCAGTTTCAAGTTTTCACACTCAACAACTCTAACATATAATAACATGTTTCAAACTTTCCTTTAACCCGGTTGGAAAGGAATCATATACTAAACAAAACTAACCAACGCAGCTTACTAAATACCACAAATCATAGAATAACAGCATGACTAAGAAAAGGAAACCAACGGTACCCAAACCGGATTAACCCAGTTTAAAACTGGATAATTTATTCTTTTGAAGACTATTATAAAGTCTAAGAAAGAAATAATAAAACACAAAAAAGTCGAAAGACAAACCCATACCACAAACAATTTGATTTTTGGAAAAAGGACATAACCAACAAGACATAAGAAAAACCACAACAAACCCAACATAAAACGTTGTCACATAACAGGACCCCTCACAAAAACCGCATGAAATCATACTTCCACCCCTGGCCTAACCCACCAGGAAGGACGTCCTGAGCATGCTCTATAGCCGGCCTAACCCACCGCGCTACATCCACGCTTTGTGACCACACCTCTATTTTTAATAAGAGCTACTCAAGGGTGAGTAACTCTTCAAAATAACCGAACTAAAACAAAAAGCTTTTGTGAAAACAACTAACTAAAATCATTATTAAAAAATATTAAACTAATAAAAGTTTTATAAAATGTAAAATCACATGATGCAATACATAGATCAGAATACAACACCAAGGACGAACATCAAAAGACAAAACGACCCCACCACACTCGAGAGAGAATGACCAACTACAATCAATATGCCGCTCACAATCACAACTCAAAGGATTTAGAGTACGACTTGACCTCGCAGAAAAGGACTTCATTGAACTAGACCAATGACCACCTCGATGACCCAAGTGTACGTACAGATCCGAGTAACCAGGCATCCCCTCCACGCACAATCTCCACGCCATTCCCAAGCTAGATCAGACACAAAAGAAGTTCTCCCCGAAGAACAGAAAAACCTGACATAGCCAACCATTCTGAAATCAGAATTGATTTTGTTGCAGAGACTCAGTCGTTGTCACAAGAAGAACACAACGTCTTATGTCCCTAACTCCAGCTTCCTGAAACTTCTTTAACAAAGAAGAAGCGGAAGAAAATTATGATGTTCACCAAATACCAACGTCCATCATCCATCCTTGAATTACAGAAGAACTGTTCTAAAAAACTCTGTAAAACCCGGATGGGTGGAACCTGATCTAAACTATATTTTATGATTGGATAAATTAAATGTTTTACCAATGTAAAGTATTTAATATTAACCAATCACGATCCATCTAACTAACAACCCACTTATTTGTAAGTGCTGAAGTTACTTGTAATTTCAGCACCAGAGAGATTTGAATTTAACTTAGAAATTAGTTGGACTCTCCCGAGCACTTCAGCAGCCGCAATAAACCAGTATACCCTAGATCTATTGAGCCTAGCAGAGACTAGTTAAACAACCTGAGACTAGATAGTATAAGAGTAAGATTAGGATCGGTATTAGACTAAGAAGTTGCACGAATCTATCCGGCCGAAAATAAGATAGCGTGACGAGCAGACGGTGTACCCTATCCGAAATTACTCTATGAGTTAACCAACTCGGTCCTAACTCAGTTCCGCAAAACTGATTTTTAATGCAATCAATCGATATTTGTTATAGACTCCGGAAATTGATCAATATTCCGCAACTTTAATCCAGAGTCCACAAGTACATTCAGCATTTTTCCAAGCCATCATAAATTTTGATGAAAAAAATTAAAATTAACGTTGTGTTCATATCATTGGAAATTTGAGAAAAAATTAATTCTATAATGATTCGAGATTCAACAACAATTTAAATGAAGGCTTGAGAACCTAAGGAGATATTAAAGTACATTAAAGTACCCCGAATTCAGGCTCAAAACGGTGGCAACGTTTGTTCTTATCCAGATTTTACACCCTTTAAACATATCTCGAACCAGATAAACATTTCGAAACATTCGGAAAATGCCTTAAAAATATTGCATTTTTATCATTTTTCAATAAACACTTCAGCTGATTCGAAAACAGGCCAAAGTTGTGCGAGTGGCAGACGTTAAATGAGAGATTTCATCTGCCAAAAGGAACCACAATCTCTTTTCATGTCATTTATTTCAAACTCATTGAAACAAAGCTCGCTTCCATCCTCTTGAGTAGAAGTAGAAGCACATTTTTATTAGCTAATGTATCTCAATCAAATTTTCCAACTCAAATCCCTCGAATTTGTATTTCAAGTTGACTCTTTCCCATTATAGCTCAGTCAGCAAACTGTAGCCCCTCAATATTCGAAAATATTATGTGAGGTGTCTTAATTTAAAACGGTTGGCGGGACTATATAATAGAAAAGACCTTTTTTTTTTACTCTTTCCTTTTCTCCGCTCCGCATTTCTCCTTAATTTTTGTTTCCCAAACGTTTAGCGTGTCATTAAGGCTTAAACCGTGATGTTATTGAGAAAAATTTTAGTTTCAAAGGCTTAAGCGCAATTAAGTTCGCAATAACTGATGAAAACGTTAATTAATTATCAAATGACTATTCCAAGTTTCGGTAGTTTTTCATTCAAACCAATTTGTCAAAGATATTTGACAGCGTGGGTTACGATCCTGTTTTTTTAGGATTGCGAAGCGAGTTATCCCGTTCTCACAGTATTTCCAAGTTGAATTGAGGTAAAAAAAATTTCATATTAGTTCCGTATACGCATCATCTTTTTGTATCGACTTTCGAAGACAAAGCGTAATATTTATGCTTGGAGTGGATTTTTAATCCAATATTTTTCGATTTCCAAAGTGCGCAATTTTCACACTTTGATTTGTTTTATTCAATACAAAAGATTTTGTTGTCTGAAGCTCAAATGTGAAAATATATTTCAACTAAGATTACTTTTCTCAAAGTTATAATGATTTAAACTTGGAACTAACTTGACGACTATAACACGAATTGGGATAAATTACGCGCAATCCCGCAATCAAATTTAGGCTTAACTACTCAATTATAACGAAATGTTATGTTTTCACAAACGTAATTGAATATATCATCAAAGTTAGGTGTTTAAAAGAATTATAATTGATTGAAATTGTACTATTTTACCATTTAACCCAATATATACTCTATCTTATAGTCTTATAATCCATTTTGTTGATTATACTTCAAAAAACACTTCAAATTGTTGTTTTTTTATAATAGTTGATAATCTTGTTTTTTGGCCAAAATATTGTAATGCCAAATCCATGGATTTTTATTTTTCTGTCAATAGCAAAACTTCGAAACACTTTTTTCATAAAAATTTCTTCACATTCGTTGAAATGTTCCTGCGGTAGGTAAAGAATAACTCTTTCAATTTAATCAAATAACTAAGGTAGTGTGCTGATATTTTGTTGCTTAAAAAACTAGAAATGCGCATCATGAAACAATTCAAATCAAAAAGAAAATGAAAAATAAAAAAGTTATAGCTTTGAATTGATTTGGAACAGCTTAAGTGATGTCATTTTTTTAAACATTTGCTACCGTCTATAAAAAGCATAAAATATAAGCAACTCAGTTGCAAGGTCGATGACCAAATGAGCAAACAAAAGGAATTATAATCAATCATAGTCAAAATAAATAGTATTTTTTTGCAAAACAAAAAAATCGAAAACTTGGTTAAAAACAATCGATTATAATCGATTAAAATAGGATAAAAAATTAGATCATTACGAGGCCAAACTGTGCATTTTGCAAATTGTGAGGCCAAACTGTGAAATGAGGCCAAACTGTGCAATTTGTGTATTGTGAGCGGATTCCGCAACAAGGAAGCGTGAATTGTGAGCGGATTCCGCAACAAGGACGCTTTTGATCTTCCTTTGTATCAAGACTTGTCTCCGGAATCCAGGAACACACTGACACAAAATTGTGGCCTTTTCAGTGCACAGTTTGGCTTCTTAATGATGGATTTTTAATCGAGTAAAATTAATTTTAACTTGTTTTAAAGAGATAGACTTTAATCGAATATTAATTATTGTCAATTTTATTCAGACAGGTATTTAAAGCATATGAAAAATGATTATTAACGCTTGAAACTAGATGCGGATTTGTTTTGTTCTACTAAAGCGTAAGCTGAAGTTAAACTGAAGCAAGTTAGTTGTTTGCTTTTATAATAAATTATCATTCGGAAAATATATCACTTGGCCCTTTACATAACTTATGGGGGATAAATTTGAGAAAAAAAGTTTAATCAACATTGTCTAATTTTTTTTCAAAATTTTTATATTGTTTCTCTTGATGAAAAAATTTTTGTGATTGGCAAAGAACAAAATCAGGTTTCTGCCTTGGTACACTAGCAGTATTCTGGCTTACGATCATGCAACAACCTCAGGCGTACGAAGTGTCTTATAAAAAGTTTTTTGGAGCTTGGAAAAGAACTTTATTAGGAAGTTTCTGTACAGCATTAGGGATATAAAACGAGAAAATTTACAAGTTCAGGAAAAAGGCAACAATTAATTAGTTTAATTCAAATTATTGGAAAATATTTATTGCAAGAATATCTGTTTGATCGAGTCTAAAAAATAAGTGAGAGACATCAATCAACATTTAGCCAGCCAGCCCCGTATAAGGAACGAAATAAGATTTCGCAGTTATTTTACAAAAGGATGGGTTCATTTTCTGTAAGTTGATACAACAGCAACATCATAAAAAGTTCAGGTTTTATAAATATATCAGTTACTGAAAATAAGGCGGATAAAAGCTTTGGAGAAATGGTTGAATTTCGGGTTGATATGTTATTATAAAAAGTGGTTTCTTTTCTTGACCATCAAAAAAAAATAAGTTATTGGGATCTCTTTATCAACTCCCCCCCCCCTTTTGCAAAAGGGGGCGGGAAGGCTTCTTACTGGGCCCAAAGTTCACATATGCTTAACCAATGAATTAGATTTTAATAGGGGTGACAATTCGTTACTAGGTACCATATGTGGGAGGAGGGGTAATAGTTAAAGAGATCCAGTTTCTGATGGTAGCTAGTGTTTTTGTCACGTATGAAACATCTGCTCTCAGACTTTTTCCATCAGCATTCATGTGAACTATAACTTCAACTGACAAAGAGGTTACTGTCAGTGGGTAGACAATTTAGACTAGAGAGTAACTGACTAGTTTGGAATGAAGTTTTAAAAATTCTGAAGAGAAGTTTTTCTATAACTAGAGGTTCATAGTAGGGGCGTTGCTTCGCATCTGTCCAAAATAGTTGAGACCCGTTTTGGAAGATGAGACCGGTGTTTTCTGGACATTGGACTGAGAGTTCGAAAATCGCGATTGCATTAAAGGTGCACGTGGTTCATCATCATAGCTAAAACCGTTGAAAAAGCCAATGATTCAGAAAATTGAGAGACATCAATGATGATTATGGTTCATCATCATAGCTAAAACTGTTAAAAAAGCCAATGATTCAGAAAATTATTATTTTATTTATTAACAAAACTTAATTTTAACAAAGATGGCCGAAAGCTGTGCAATAGCAGAGATTGTTCCGACCATATTTAAAAAAATTCAAAATAAGTTTTTTCTTTTCTACAAATTAAGGTCGGTTTTAGTGTGTGGTGTGTTTTGAGAACTATCCAACTTTGTAGAAACTTGATGAAATAAACATAATCCACAACACAACATTTGTCTTTAAAAAAATGTTGAATTTCTTTAAAAAAAACTTTTATTGCCAAAGAAGCACTAAATTATAGATCCAAAACGTGTTCTTCATAATAAAATTAAGTTTTTTTCGTGTAAAAGTTTAAATAAAAGTAAATTTTCATATAACGTTCATTGCTCGATCGCTTTACCCTCATCTTACAAAAGTGAAAAGAAATCAATTGTAGTGGATTTTTGTGGTCTAAATTATTATCAATATAATCGATCCCCATGTTGCACTCAGGCAAAAAGGGAGCAAAAAACTATTATAATCCATTGTTTTCATCAAATTAAAACTTATAATCCATTTAAAACAATTTGGATGTTTTCCTTTATTTTACTTTTTTTTGTTTCGCGTCGTGCAAAGTTTTGGAAGAATTTCTGCATTTATCAAATGAGTAGTTTGTAAATTTTGCAAAAGGAATGTACGGCTTGCTCGATTTTTAAACATAAGTTTTCTCAAATTGCAAAACAATTCCGTTAACCGCTCCCCCCATAACGTTTGCCCCTTTTTCACCTTACAATCCCCTTTGCCACTTCATACCTAAATCACCCCCCCCCCCAACCTGAGCCACGCCCCACAATTGAATCACCATCCCGACTCCCCACCTGAGCCCCCTCGCCCCACCTGAATCACTCACCCCCGCCGGAACAAAATACCCCAATCTTTGACCCTTTGACAACACCCCCACCCAACGTTTGCCCCCTTGACAACAACTCACTATTTTTCTTTTTTATTAGACAATGACAATAAAACACAAAATAAACCAAATTTTCTCCATGAACTCCAGTGCCCAAACTCGCTCGAAATTGAAATAATAATTAAAAACTTTATAACAGTTTTTCTCGAAACTGAGACAAATTTTGAAAATTTTGAGTGTCGTTCGAATCACGACTGTGAAAGGGCTTTAATTTGGTATATCACTCGATCCATTCCGATGATTATTTGTGGTTCCTGATTTTGCGTGGAAAACAAAAAAGAAAAAAACTAAACTACACCCGAGTACAAAGTTCCTCCCCATTTTCATTGGTCAGAACAAAAAATAAATCAACTCCAAGTCACTTCCTTTTAAAAGCATTTATCTTACTACTGTGGGTCGTTCGCAAATCGGCTGGGATAGTTGAAGTTGTTGTTTTGCTGTGAGCCTCGTTGCCATGACGGCGGGTTGCTAGAAGTGTTCGACGGAACAATCATATGCTGTGGCGCCGCACTGTTGAAAGTGTAAGAACTGGGGGGAGGTGGGTGAGGGGGAGGGACGTCTGGACTATCTGAGGCGAATTCACCACTCAGTCCTCTAGCATTCCTCAAGCTTTGCCAGTCGGGTCTTGATTTTAAGTCATGTCTGGCTTGGTCTTGGAAAAGGGTTTGCACATCGTTGTGATTGATGGTGTTATTTTGATTAGCAGGCTGACTGACTGGTCGCTGCCATTGGGGCCTGATGTTGTCAGTATTTGTCTGCAAAAGAGAATAAATCAATCATGTTTTCAATGAAGACCGCCTTTTTTCCGAAAGTTTGAGGAAAATTACGGAACATTTAAGCTCGGGGTGCTTTTTTGCTCTAAACCAAATTTACATGATAGTTTTCTTAACTCTAATTTTAGTGATCGTCAAGCAAAACTAAAAGTATTGTCACCCTGAGCTCAAAGTCAAAAAGATATTTTACTTCAAATAAATTTTTAAAACATCCTTAGCTCAAAATCGAAATATATATATATATATATAGTAGCAAATGTGTTTTAAGGCAGTTTTATCAGTGAAATTCAAAATTGAGAGCGGGAGGTTTTGTTCGTGATTCCAGAACAGATGGTGAGTCTTCTCATTTTTTAGCGATTTATTCCCTTTGACTTTTTGAATTTTCGAAATTTGTCGACCTTTTTTTTAAGTCGACCAAATTGTTTTCCGAGCTCTCCCAAGACACTGAAAAGACCCTGTAGACAAATTTGATGCGCTGCAGCAAAATTTTGAAAAACAGGCCAAAAAAAGGCGTTTTTAGGCACTTTTTGGAAAATTTTGACCAAAAATTCGCGTTTTTTTTGGCGCCTGCTCCCCTCACAAAACTTGCATATTTTGGCGCCAAAGACGCCTTTAGAAAATTTTTAGGGTCCGTCACCAAAAATGGATATCTCAAAAACCCTTTTGGTCTTCAGGGGGTCAAATCCCTCAGGTACTTTCAAGTACCTTTGTAACTGCATTTATGAATGCATTATTGTCTATAGTTTTTGAGACTATTTCATGAAAAAAAAAGCAAACAAGAAAAATCATTAAAACCTACTTAATTGAAAAACTATTCTCTCTTGGATAAAATTTTTATATAGATTATTTGACGTATTTTTGTGTTTTTGACAGAAACCAGCTATTTTTTATTTAACATTAGAATTGAACATTTTCCAGATCAACTGAAAATCAGCTTTTTGCTCAACCAACACATGTTCCTTCTGCAACATGCAAATGACTTGCAACTGACTATACCTTGAAGCGAATAAGAGTTATTTTGCTTAATATTGCTACCGCTTCAATCGCAGGTCTCATGGCTTATTTGGTGATTAACACTCTTGTTCTGCAATCAAAAAATTGGTAGTTAGAACCTCACAGGATATATTTTCCCGGAAATAGCCTAGTTTTAAATAACTTCCAGCAGAAATTGGATATAAAATAAAGCAATTTAAAAAAAACATGCGTCATTTAAACAGAATATGCAAAATTCTGACCAAAAAACTAGACAATAAATTTTCGTGTTTTTTGTCAGAAACAAGCGTTCAAGGTCATGTACGGGTAACAAATGCTTGCACATTTTCCTTTGCAATCAAAGAATATCGGAATAGATAGTATTGACACCAATAAACTTACATTAGGACCTGCATTAGTCAATTCTAGACATTGTAAAAAGCCTAATTGGGGCAAGATAATTGGCGTTCGAATTATCATTCCAAATTGAATGGAGACAGACACTAACTGCTCATAACAAATTCGTGCGCAGTGTGAATCACCTGCTTGTGGGAGAATAAAAACAATCAACAATTTAATTTAAAAAATTAAGCTGCTTGTGAGGCACCAAAAGCAAGAAACAACAAAACTGCTCGTATAACAGGTCCAAGACCTGAATGTTCCCTCTGCCCTTTAATCCATATCGACTAGTTCTGGTTTTTGGGAAAAGTGAATACTGATAAACTATAAGTTTTGGACAATGTCGAAGATCAAGAAAAAAATTTTTGAGCCGTACAAAATTAAAACGACCGATTAGCTAGTCTCAATTTAATTTGGAGCATTTTTGTATTAGTCTTTCAGTGTTGTGAGTAAAGTTTTCAAAAATTGCATAAAATAGTCTAGAGCATGGCCAAGTTAGCGATTTTCAAAATTCCAATATTTTCCAAAAAATGATCGGAGGCAAAAATATTTTTTAAATATGATTTTAGGAAGTCTTCAAGCGGAGATAAAAAGTTTTGTTCAGAACTATTATTTTGATTGCCGCAAAATGACTGAAAAAATCAAACCAGGTATAAATATTACATTTTTTTTTAAAGTCGGAGCAATGACATTTTTGTACCAAATTTTTTCAAAAAAAAAATGACGGAAAATTTGTGTTCGAATTGTTTTTATTTCTCGAGAAATTTCGACTGCTTTTGACAGATTTTTTATTTGATTCAAAAAATGTTGTTGTATTAAGCTCAAATTTTAGAAAGTGCATTTGACCTGTGTTTACTTTTTGTAAAGTAATGGGAGTGTTAAGATTGCTAATTTGGCCTATTTGGGACAATTAGCACGCGGTTTATTTTGCGCTATTAATGCGTACGTGTAGAATTAATCCCTCTCAGAAAACTCAACGTTGCAAATTCGTTGAAGCAGGCTAGTTGTCGTTATTGCTACGATACCAGGAACGAAATCTATAACTTTGTATTTAATACGGCGTGTGGGGAGATGATTTTTAAAAATCTTGTTTTTTTTTGAAAAGTTTATCAATTTTTAGAAAACAAACAGCTCCATAGACCTTAAGAGGCAGTCGGTTTATCCAAGGCTTCACCCAGATACGAGGCGGCGTATTTTTTTTCAGTTTGCTTGTGGCAGAATCTAAAAAAGTCCTAATTTTGATTTCATTTATTTTTTTTTTCAATTATTTCAGACAAACTGAAGTTCAATTGGCCTACTCAGAGCTTTTCACTGATACATATAAAGAAAAAAAAACTTTTTACTTCAGTTCAGTTCAGTCTTTGCATCAGCAAAACATTGAGAGTTTGACAAATTGTGGAAACTACTATTATAATTAACCTATCATCATGACAAATTTTTAATTTCCGATCTAAAAAATTAACACGACTTCTCTTATCCGGGCAAACTCAATAGACTCCGTGAACCATTCAATGTATCTACACTTGTTTTTGGTAAAAAAAGAGTTTGATATAGTTAGGTTTGGTTCAGTTCAAATTGACAAATAAAAAACGTTCATACGGTAAATAATCTCAGGTGAAACATAGCATAATTTTGCACAACATCGTTCTTTTTCAGATGACATTTTTATTTAAAAAATCCATGAAAAACTGTTATAACGGGAGACAACGGTTGTTTGATAACAACTAATTACTAAGCAAGTTACCATAAAGTCTTTTGAAGTTGGAACTAAAAAGAATATAGAAATACGAAACGGTCAAAGAAAGAAATCATCTTGTAAGTTTTTCACGATGGATTTGGGTTTCCAAGAAGTCAGTTCGGTTTTCAATACTAACACTTTTTCAAAGCAAGCTTGGTTAAAACTGCAAATCTGGTTAAAACAAATCTACAAACAACTAACCCTGTAGTTAATGTGGGTTGGTGCTGACATAGGCGTAGAGTGCATTGACCTGTTATCTGCAATGTTGTTAATAGCACCATTACTGTTATTTCTCGCCCCTGAACAAACACATTCTGGTTAGTAGTTAAAAACTATTGGTTATTGTTTACCCTGTATGTTTGTTCTTCGCGAGGAGATATTTCTGATGTGAACAAACTAGGGTGCGGGGGAGGAAGCGTGTCCGTACTTTGCAGCTCATTGGGGTAATTTTGACTTGAGTATTGTCTTGGGGGTTCCATGTCCATCTTAGATTGTCTCAGTACATCTGAAGCGATTTTACTTGAGATTAATGAATTAATCGTGAAATCAATTTGGGAGAAGGATGACGAGTTCATGTTGTGGTTGAAAGAAGAAAAAAGTATAGGTGATTTAAAAAAATACCGTATTGAGAGGATTGTCTGGATTGCATAGATGCTCTCGGATTCATCTCTGCTCCCCCTGTTGTGTCGTTTACCCTCTGTTCATAACCTCCGGCTGGTGCTGTGAATGAGTTGTTATCGCGGTCGTTCATAGGTGGCATCGACATCAGATTCTGTGGCCGGGCTGAATTTCGCGACTGCCCAGAAGTGATTGATTCTGACACAAAAAGAATTTTGAGTTGAATCCAATTCATTCAGTCATTAAACAAAAGTAACATTAACCATTAACAGGACATTAACATTAACCATAATTTGAATGACAATCTAAGAACCATAGGTTTATCGATTAGAAATCCCCGAACACGAGGTGGTGTAATTGTTTCTTCTCAAAAGTTACAAATAGTTTTACTTGTTTTTCTTCCCCCTCAAAAATTAACACATCAAAACTACAGTCGTAATTGAAATTTATAAAACTGTTCTCTTAAAAATTGTTCAGATTTTTGTTCCGACTATCGAGTTTCAGTTTTTTTGTTTTCCTCGCAAAATCAGGTGGCCACAAATAATTATCGGAATGGGTCGATAAATATATCATGTGAAAGCTCTTTCAGTCGTTATTCGAACGACATTAGAAACTTAACTTTGACATAAATTTCTCAATGCCGAGAAAAACCTATTTGAAGTTTTTGATTTTTGGTCTAATTTCGAGCAAATAAAGCGAGCGAGCAAGCTTATTTATGCCTAATTTAAGCCCTTTATAATAGCTTATTTATGCCTACTTTAAGCCCTTTATAATAGCTTATTTGAGCCTAATAATTTTAGTTTTCAGCCAAGTAAAGTTAGTTTTTGGAGTTATTTTAACGCCGTTTTCGAAATCAAAAATTTTGGTTGAATTTTTTTTTCGACTTGCTTAGGATTTTTTTGTTCTTCTAATAATTTTCAATTTGCCTTTTTTAAAAGTTAATGTCGAATATGCTTAAGTTCTAGATTTTCTTTCAGATCCTACTATCACACCATGCAGAAAAAAACGGTACTATTTTGAAACGTTTTTGTATTTTAAAAGACTAAGTCGGAACATTTTGTGCTGCTTGCGTGGTAGCCTGTTATCCTTGTTAGTTATTGTATTTGGTTGAACAAACTTTTGATTTAAACTTGCCTCAGTAAAATAATTGGGTTCTACAAACATTGAGATCTCTGTGCATCGATATTAAAATGACCACAGATAGAAGCTCAAGCGCTGTAGCTGCTTGATTTTATGAATCAAAATTTTTTTCGATTAGTCGGAATCTGTCGAAAATTGATGTGTTTGTTGTTTCGCCTAATTTATTGTTTCGACTAATTTTGTGCAACAAGAATTTTAATACGAAAGCTTTTCAATTAAGCCGAACAAACCTTGATTTTACTCCTTGAAAAACAATTTTTTGAATTTTTACTTAGCGATTCTTTAATAATAAAACATTTTTTCTATAATTCAAAAACAACCTGCAAAAGTTTTAGAAAAAAGATTTGAAATTCTCTTTTCAAATTTTGATTTGTTTTGTTTTGTTCCATGAAGAAATTTGTAATCGATTATGATTAAAAATAACTTTCATTTTTCCTATGAACACAATTACCTTGCACAAAAACGACACAAAATTGAAAAACTGACTGAAATTTACATTTTTTTTCTGAATATGGTCGCAGCTTTCTGTGCTACTTGCACAGCAAGCGGCTGCTCTTGTTTTCTTTTTTCATGCACAAACTATAACGTTTTATAAGAGAAAGTATATCAAACAAGTTGCATATTGGTAGTATAAATTGCAATATTTATGCAACTGATACACGGTGTAGCTTTTTTCTTCAGATTTTTCTTTAGAAGTTGTCAACGTTTTTTCATGTTATTGTTATAAGTATATTTTTAAATTTAAACAAAACTGCTCGTATCAAGGCGAAGCCCTGAATGTTCCGACTGCCTTTTAAGGTTTATGGAGCAGCAGTAAAAACATAAAAAAATAAATGAAATAAAATAAAATGAACATTTTTTTTTCTAAAACTTGAAGTTTTTTATGAAAATCATCCCCCCACACGCCATATAAAGTACAAAACAATAGATTTCGCTCCTTGTAACAAATCAATTATGGCAAATAGGCTTCTTTCAACCAATTTGGAACGATTTATAAGACGGATTAAATCTCCGCTTACGCATTAAAAGCGCGAATTATATCGCGCGTTAATTGTCCCAAATTGGTCAAAATGACCAAAATGGCAATCTTTAAACCCTCATAACTTTACGAGAAATGATCACAGGTGAAATATCTTTTCAAATTTAAGCTCAGGACAACAATGGCTTTCCAATGATATAAAAAAATTCCGTCAAAAATGGCTAGTTAAAAAGTCGAAATTTGTCTGAAGAAAAAAAAAACCCACCCCGAGCACAAATATTCCGTTACTTTCGTATCGAAAGTCGGAACAAAAACAGAATCACGATCAATGGGGTTCAATATGATAACACACGTGACCCCTTGCGAGGTCTTCTTGAGGTACAAGCTAGCAATAGCTAATCCATAGTTTATTCCCGTTACTTTAGTGACGTGTTTGGACACAAGAATGCTCTTATCAAAGCAAAGCCTTGATTAATTTTCTTACTACCTTTAAGGTGCCCTAATTACGTTTTGTTCCGACTTTGAAGAAAAAGCTGGAATACTTGTGCTCGAGGTGTTTTTTCTCCGGACCAATTGCGATTTTTTCACAAAAATTTTCAGCGGAAACTTTTTGACCAATTGAAAGATATTGTTGTTTTGATCTCAAAAATTAAAAAAAATACTTTATCTAGGCATGTTAATTGGTCTATTAAATACTCTGCAAAATATATCGTTTTTTACTTTATTTAGCGTGTGGATTAAAAGTTGTGAAAATCTCATCGTTTATTATTAATGCACAAACTACTCCAGAGACCATAAAAGGCAGTCGGATCATTCAGTGGTTCCTCTTTATACCAGAAGTCTTGTTGGTCTATAAAATCAATAAAATTTTAAAAAAAAGAAGAATAATAAAGAAAAGTTTTTCACATTTTTTCGCAGAATTTTTGAGGGCGCATTAAAAAGTTCAAAGTACATTATTGCTTGCCCGCTTACTGTCCCTTTTTCAAACTTGCCATTTACAAACATTAAAAACAGCTCACATAGTCACAGTGGCGTGTTTTATTTAATTTTTTCGAAGACATTTTTTTAAAAATAATCTTTACTAACCCGAAACCGTATTTTAACCCTCCGTATTTTAACCCTCCGTATTTTAACCCTCCGTCGTACCTTGTGAACATTTTCCAAACCCACTGAAGGATTAAATCAATGATTAAACATATGTTAATTTCCTACCTTGCAAAATGTTTTCCGGTTTGCAATATGGGAGAAACAGTTACCATATGATCCGTGTGCGGTATAAAACTGGCTCACCTCTCTCTGTCGTTTGTCTGTTCAGATCCGCATCGTAAGTCTGACTTCTCACACCGAATGACCCCGCATTCATGTTAGAGTTCACAGGGGTCATTCTCCCATTTGATCTCATACTGGAGTCACGAAACCCGGCCGCAGACGACAAGCTGGCAATGTCATTTCGGTCAAACTGGAACAGCCAAAGTGTTAAGAATTGCAATAACTTGACTGTTATTAGAAAACACCTATAGTGGAATAAATTATGCGCGCAAGAAAAAAAAGATTTTTAAATTAAAATATGTTTCTTTTTATAATCGAAAGAAGTCAACTTCTTTTGTTTCTGGCTTAAACTTTTGTTGGATTCACTGAAATCGAACTTGCCTTCAATCGAACAGATAGAATATAAAAAGACTTAATATAGTAAATGTAGTAGGGTTCTTACATTGTTGTTTGCGTTGTGGTCAAATGACTCATAGGGGCCCTGCTGGTCCTCCAGAACCCCCGATGCAGATCTAGATCTCTGCTGTTGCAACTGGAAATAACATGTAAGAGCTACAAAAAACTTTGCTAATAAAACTTAAAACACGGAAACTTTGTAAATTATGCCATGAACAACAGAATATGATAGAAATCGATCGTCTACGGATTCTCAAAGATTTACATATACGTTGAAGTAACTAAAAAACTCCAAAAATTCCCTACTGCACATTTGTATTCAGAAAACCACGTTACGGTCGAGAATAATTATGATTTTTAACACCTTGCGATTTTCAAATTATATTCATAACATCATTTATATTTGCATCCCTTGCGCTCCAAGCAGTTTCAACTAATTGTGTTGCTTAAAGATAACGGAAAAGAAAAACAAATTTAACCGCTTGCTCAGCAACTCGTACAAGTAAAACAGACTTTCATTATAAATAGAGATACAGTTTTTCAATACTTTTTTTTCAAATTTTGCTCTCAAAATTTTGTTTTAATTTTTCTTCGTAGTCAGGAAAACCACTGAATTAATTTGGTAAGAGGGGAACGAGCAAAGATAAACTTTACTTTCGAAACTTTAATTACAAATTGTTTGATCTGCGTGTAACAAAATATTGAGTCGATTATTTAAAAACTCGAAAAACTCCAGAGTACTGGGCTCCACAGTCACTGATTTAGGAGCAAGTAATTGTTATTGTAATTTTTGTTTCATTTTTGACGTACATTTTGCTACTCTTGTAAGTTTTTTTCCATAAAAATAGCTATTACAATTTTCGTTCCAACGAATATCAATTTTTTTTTGCTAAATTTTAAAGAGGTTCAATCTTTTTTTTTCATTAGTTAATTGATTTTTTTGTATAAAAAACACCTAGTCAATGCCAAGCAATAAAATTGAGTTTTAATAATTGAATTAGATTCTATTTGAAACCGGCAAAAAACTGGATACATACAGTTTGTTGATTTTCTGTTCCCCTTTGCCCAACTCTCTGAGTTTGAGCCCATTTTTGTACCCTAGATATACCTGTTTCATATTCATTCATATTTCAACTTTTTTCGGAAAATTTCCAGCCGCCGGAGATTCGACCCTTTGATTTCTAGACTTTGAGTTTTACGCTTTAACTTTTATACAATGAGGCCTGTGACCTTCATCTGATTTATTGTTCAACTAATTGTTCTTTGATCTTTAATTATGCTCATGTTTGATGTTTCTGTCGGCGCCAAAAGATCATGGTCAAAAATTGCTTTTGGACTGCTTTGGGCTCTTTTTCCTCCCTCCCCCTACCTGTAAATTTTTACATGTAAATTTGTTGACGACATTGTCCGATTGTTATGAAAATTTACATACAGACTAATAAAGCCACGACAAACATACTTGGTCTTCATACTTAACCTCGTAAAACCACTCGTTAAACTAATATGGGGGGGGGGAGAAAAAAGAGCCTTGCTTTGTATGGGATTCTTTTTATTGGATTTTTTTGATGTTTCGGACTGTTTTGTTCGGAAATATTTGTATATGCACCATAACTGGGTTGATGATCGGACAATTAAAAATTGGAGGAATGTTGGGGTCCAGTGCAATTTTTCCACTCAAAATTGAAGTGTCAAATGAAAGCCAGATGATGACGAGTTGTTATTTTGAAACTCTTTTGATCGTCATCTCATCTGCGCTAGAAAAAAATTAGATAAAAGCTTTCAGTGCTAAATGAATAGTAATTAGTGTTTTTACAGTACAAAATTCGACAGCGAAGAGTAAATTATGAGAAAATTTCCGCTTCTTTTTCAAATAAAAGATATGGCCAAAGCCTATTCATGAACCAGTTTTTTTTTGTTTTCCTATTATGTGAAATAAATTTCTCTAGGATTAATATAGAGGAACTTTGCATCATGATCAGGCTTTCACTTTCAGAAAATCAGACCGATTTTTCAATCCCGCGCAACGGCAATAATAGTCTGTGAAGTCATTCTCTCAATAGACTTCTGGGTTCAAGTCAACTATAGCCCGATTGAAATCGCCTTGTGAAATTTAAAGACCAAAAGCGCAACGAAAAACCACAATCTGGAATGTGGGGAAACATAACACATGGACTAGTCTTAGACAGGCTTGTTAAGGCCAACTGATAGCGTCTCTGCTATTCACAGGAGACAATACTATTTCAATTAAAATGTTTGTTTTAATCGACGCAAAAATTATGTTTTTCTTGTTTTCGGGTTTTTAGTCTCGACAAATAGTCGTCTTTCCGAGAAGTTTTTTTAAAATTTTTATTTTGTTTCATTTTTTATGATACCTATTTTTCTCGATGTTTTTCCTATTTGGCATTTAAACAAGTTTTTTTTGTCATTTTTAAGTTCATAGTCGATTCCTTTATAACTCAAATACAGTCGATTTTGTTTCGCAAAGGTGCGCAAAAGTCTTATCCGGATTCGTTCACCGTGAAATTTTTGAATGTGTCGCTTGTTCTTAACACAAGTTACAAGTGATTAAGTGCTAGTTACCACGCTTGGAGCGCGACTTCTGTTCAGGGTGCTGGTTGGTGTGGCCATTTGGGACCCATTTGTCAACCCTCTCTGTCCCCTGCTGATAGTGCTGCCTCGCACACTGTCCGATGTGAAGTTAGCCGACGTAGTGCCGTCCACTGTGTTATTTAAACTGGCATTCGACTTAGTGGTCGCCCATTGGCCCACTGTAATCGGTTTATCAGACATTTCCGCCAGGTCCACATTCTTAAAACATAATGACCCCCTCAATTGTAGTAGCTAATTTTTTTGGTGCCTTTTTATGGCTTTCATCTTTGAGCGACTAATACTTAAGTTCTTTCTATCTTTTTGTCATTAACACATTTACGGATTCAATTTGAAAAGCGCTGCATGAAAAATATTTTATTCTGACTGGCTAAGTTAACTGCTTTGGGGGAGGGGGAGGGGGAGCTGGGAGGATGTTCACTTGGTTCACATTTTCAAATAGGAGACTCGATTTAAAGACAAGCATTAAAATTCGAATCAATTTCAGTAGTTCCGAATTCGAATCGAATTCAGTAGTTACTATTCATCGAAATCAATCCGTCTCTTACAGGAGTTTCGGATTGCCATATTTGAGCGGCCTGGTGCTTCTTGATCGTGTCTGTCAGTTTCGCATACCAAATATCGTTGGCCGAAAGATGAATTTTCTCTAAAACGACATTGACAAACCGAAAGTCATTTTATAATCACTGAAGCTCCACCTCTAAGGTAAAATTAGATTCCTGTAACTATGAGCTGTGGTTTTAGTCTTTTATGCTTTTGTGAGCGCTTGCAAAATTTTCGAAAAATATTTGAACCAAGTTTTGAAATCAGCTCTTGATTCTGAAAATTTTATTTATATGTCTCTTTTTTATTTTACCTGAAATGATGTGTGAGTAGTGTTTTTCGATCTCAGTGGCCAATGCATAGAGCTCCTTGTTCAATTTCTGACCCCCCTTAGAGGTTTTGAAGGAGGCCCGGACAGTCTTCACGTGGTTTTTACTGTCTGGCTTGAAGAAGATCACAATTGGGTACAGACCGACCATGTTCAGCCACTGAACATTCTGCGGAGAAATGTCCAACAGGCAATGACAGTTCTTAAAAAAACAATAAGTTGTTATTCGTCCTTTTATCAGTAGCCCGGGTTGACGTCCATACACATCAAGTGTATGGAAAAATGCTTGTCATACAATTTTAATATAATGATTAATTTCAATTTCGAAAAATGGTTGAAAAAAAATGTTGTGGCTGCTTGATTCTTAAAACAAAACAGTCTAGTTGTGAAAAAACCGAATTTCTTTTGGGAAAAAAATGCTTGTCATACAATTTGCATAAATGGAAATTGTATGACAAGTAATTTCAAAATTGCCCCAATTTTTTTTGGTTTTTTAACCGCAAATCGAATTTTGTACTCATAACGTAGTCCTGGATACGTAGTCCTGGTCATAAATTTTTTATGCATAACGTAGTCCTGGATACACTAATGTTAGCTTTTCTCCCTTTTTGCTTTATAACTTTTTCAAAAACGCTGGAAACGCCTATTTTTTTTCTATGGCATGTGTATGTATACCTTGATCAATGTCTGATATTTCAAAAATTCAAATTTTAAAAATAATCATTCTTGAAAAAAATTGCCAAAATTTACAAGTTTGTTACTTTCGTTATGTCATTTGTGAAAAACAGCCGTTAGACAATTCAGGTCGTTTTCTATGCATTGTAAATGCAATACCGTCCAGCCTTTGGTGCTTTGAGAAAAGCAAGGTCTTTGTCACTTGCGTTTGCTTACAAACTCAACCCAAATATTTTCAGAAACTAAATTTAGAAAAAAAATCATCATTTTGGTTTATGGAAAAACACTTATCATACAATTTTAATATAATGAAAAATGCTACTCATCGAGATTTCGGTACTACTGTGATAAAGTGGTCCCTCGAAAAAGCAACTGTGAGAAACAGGTCCCGCATGCATTTTGTATCTCATAATTTTGAAAACAACTTTGTTAATAAATTATTCATTTCAAAAATGTAGCAAAATATGTGGTGTCAGAAACCTTTCAGTTTGAAAATTGTAATTAAAAAAATTTTGTATCAAGAAATTTGCTTGCTTCAACTTATTTTACGGTTTAACAACCAGAATTGGATTGGCTTTATTTCTCATCAAAGTTCGATTTTGGCTTTTTTTTGAAATTTCCACCTTAAATGTTGAGGGGGAAGCTTTACAAAACAAAGAAATTTAAAATTTGTTTGAATTTAAACAGCGACATCTTTCTGAATGGCGAAATCAAAATTGTTAAAGTTTTCAGAGCTCTATGTGTCTTATTACTCATGGGACCTGGTTAATTTCAACGGACGACTCTGCCATAGTAGTACCGAGATTTCATACAATTTTCTGTACGTATGGAATTTTATGGTAAGAAGTTTTTCATGTATAGAAATTGTATGATAAGAAGTTTTGGTCAACCCGGGAGGTTTTAAAACGTTTTATATATCGTCAAACTGAGATGAAACTGATAATTTTTTTATCATACAGAATTGAAGAAGCTACACATAAGCTTTTTCGCTGAGCAATTTCAAAATTTGACAAAGCATGTGAATTGAGATATAACGAAAAAACTTATTAAAAAATTTCCCTGGAGATTTCTAAACCATTATTTTGCTCTATTTAAAAGAAGAATAGTTTTTCATTTGCTTCGATTCTGAGATAATTCTTGCAGCCAACTGTTTTCATTCTATTCTTAATTTTTTCAGTAACACCTCGTCAACTACCACGTAAAAATTCCAGGCGCAATAAAAAGAATGGCCTTTGTAGGTAAATAAAAGGACTGCGCTTAGACAAATTTGACAGCTTTTCATAGATCCTCGGCGAATCGCAGAAACTACAATTAGTTGATAACTGATAGTTTTTACAGTTTAATCACTCGATAACAAAGCACTGTCAAAATCTAAACCGTGCCTAAGAGAAAAAACTACCTAATTGAAAATTCAAAAATTTCTTTATTTCGATGCTATAGATTCAGTTACTTTAAATTTCTGCAACCTCAATTTGAAAGGAAATTTAATTCAATTGGTAAAAATGAAATAAACCATCTAATTGAAATGAAATGGAAGGTATCGTAGAGGTCACTTCAAAAACTTCGCTATTTTAAACCTTATTCTACATATTTATTTGACCATGTTAAACTATTTACGGTTTTATTCTGCGCAAAACCAATTTTTGCTGCAACAAAAGGCATTTTGGTTGTTTTACCGATAATTAAAGAAGCGTAACTAACAGTTTCACACAAACAAGCACATACACACAAACACAAGAAAAAAAATTTATAGTATAGATTAGCGATCAAATTACAACACAAAAAGTCGACAGATATTTTTGCTATTGTTGTTCCTGACACATGCGGTAATGTTTGGAGTATTTTAGAGGAGACAAAGTGTTATTATTAAACAAAATACAAAATTGAGAAAACTGACACACTACAGCGGCTTGTGGAAAATTTTATTTAAATTATGTTTTTTTTTAAATTTAATTTTTTAGCCCCATTACAGAAATCATTCACCGAAATCATTCACATCTTAAACCGCTTCTAAAACTGAAAATATCCCGGGTTTATTATCCTACAAAAAAATTCCAGTTTTTAAGAACATTTTATAAGATTTACTGGAATATTCCGCTGTCTTAAAAGTTCCTGACAAGAAAAGTTAAGAAAGTATTTAAACATTCAAATAATTTAAAAATAAACTTTTGAATGTAATTTTCTGCCGCAATAATAACAGATAAAAATCAATTTTGTTATTTTTTGATTTATGCATGTATAATTTATTAGATAGTGGTTATAATGTTTGCATTTCGAAGAAAAAAATTTAATACAAAAAATTTTCAGGTTTTTTCAATGAATATCCTAAATATACGTAGTAAACAGCTCGAAAATTTTTTAAGACAATAAAAATTCATTTTTGACGAATCATATCATAGATGCGGACGTGTTTTATATGGTTTTCAAGTTTTTACTGACAAAACTTTTAGTTATCAGCAAAAAGTTTAACAGTTAAGTTCAACAATTAGTGGGTTTTTTAGTAAACTCATGTAGCAAAACGAGTCGTTTGTCCTATCAATTTTTAAAATTGTACTCTGTGACAGCAAAAACTTCTTGAACAGTTTTAAAAAATGTTTAAAATTAAACTTTTTGAGCAGGAAAATTAGACAATTTTTGCAGCAAAAGTCACTATCTTATAGCTTTTTTTATAAAAAAAAGTCCCTATTTTTATAAAAAAAAGTCCCTAAAAGTAACAGTCTTAGAGCCTACTAACTTTGTTAGAAGCTGTTAAATTCTTATAAAAAGTTCTAAGATAGCGGTTTTTTGTCAAACCGGGATTCCAACTTCAAATAGAAGAAACAGAAAAAAATGATATTTAAAAGAATGTATTTTACTGTTAATTCAGTTTTTTTGCGATGCTTTAAAAGTCAAACGGCGATCCTTTGAAATCAAGATGGCTTTATTAAGACCGAAAAACATTGGCTGATTCTGATGTAAATAATTGTGCGTACCTGCTCCATAACTTTTTTGATGGATTCGAGGTTAACTGTTGAGCCTCTGTTGCTAGAACTTATCGCAGCAAAGTCATCAGCTAAAACATTTTATCAGTATCTTGATGATTTAAAAAAATTTCCGCTTTTGATGCCAGTAATATAAAAACAGAAAACTAAAATAATGAAAACAATCCTCAAATTAAATTTCGAAACTCATATGAGGAGTAGATATGTTATATAATATGAAAGTAGATAAATTGCTATAATAATCTTTTCGAGTTTCAGTTTAATGAAAACAAGGCTTACGACATAATGTATATAAAAACAAAAAGTGACGGGTATTTACGCTGTGGCAGTTGATATTTCTGCGATGAATCATTGATGAGTTCGCTTCGGGCTAAGTCGGCAATCGGGCCAAAAATGACAATGGGACGCAGAAATGACGCTGAAACGAAGAAGAAAGTAAATAATCTCCGTGAATTTCCACCAGGAAGTGATATCATCGCTGATGAACCAGGCTTGAAATATTTTCTCAATTTTCAGATCACATTTTCACAAAACTTTGCGTCATTTATACTTTCCGTCATTTATAATGACAAAATATTGCGTCATTCCGGCTTACTTGTAAGAGTTAATAATTAATAATAACAATTGTAGTAAACCTGAAGCTAGAAGTCAAGTGAGAGCTCGTCCTGACCCGTTATCATTTCCATGGGAGGGGATCGATTACGCGGTCTGACGATTTCAAAGTGAACGCCTTACCACGAAGCTAAGTGCCTCAAATGATTAGCAATGAGATTTTCCTTAAAAACTTTTATTTAAACTTTAAACTTAAACGTTTTTTATTAAACTTTATCTATCTTAGTATCTTAGTATTTATCTATTTTAGTTGAATCATTCCATAACGAGTCATGGCGGATTTGTGGCTACAGCCATGGCATAGTCGATATACCTTGACATTTATTGCCAATTGCTATTTTGTGCGGGATTTTTTTTTGCGAAGCGCTTTTTGTGGACTGTTGTTCATAAATTGGAAATGAGAAATCGGATGCTGACACAGATACAGAATGTTTGGATATTTTTTGACGTATCTCAAATATAATCTTACCACTTTTGAGACGCACTCTTTCATAGACAGGCAGGGCAGCAGTCGATTGACCCTCTAAACAAATAAGTTAGTGTACTGACCAAGATATATTTTAACATCTTAGACACTAAACTCACACCAAAATTTTCATGATGTATCTTCTACTCAAAATTCACACTCAAATTTTCATTTTCCACACACTCAAAAACAATCAATATTTTAGATTCAGTCAGGACGTTATAGCTTGTATATTTTTCTAAATATTATCATCTTTCTCGCTAATTTTTTTATGAACTGTCTAAAGTAGACGATAACTTCCGTCGTTGTTTATCGCAATTGCTGTTTTCGCTGATCGGTCAGGTCACACTCACACTCATCTTTTATTTATAACTGAGATCTATAATGAAGTTTGGATAAGATTCAACACTAAATGATGACAGACAAGACAGAATCCGGCTTTAGTTTCTAATGTTCTTTCTATTTTTCTAAGATTATCAATCTAGGAACCAGGGGCGGATCTAGGATTTTCCCGAGGGGGAGTGGGCGGATTTTCAAAAAATTTTCGAAAATTTTGTCGACCTTTTTTTTTCTTTTAGGTCAACCAATTTGATTTTCCGAGCTCTCCCAAAGTACTAAAAAGACGCAAGTTTGGCCAAATTTTCTGCGCTGCAGGCAAATTTTCGAAAAACATGCCAAAAAAGCGTAATTTCAAATTAATTCAAGCAACTGATCTCTTTAACTTTTCCACCTTATCCTATTGCAAAAGGGGGAATTAATTACTAGGTCTATAGGGGAGGAGATTATTAGATTAAGGAGATCACATGCAATGCACTATATGTCTACGCAAACACAGCAAGCGCATCGCAGTTAACAACACATGGTGCAATTTTGACCTCTAAAGGACGCGACAAAAAATGAAGCACCTGTAAGACGAGCGAGTCGATATTCAGTCGACTTGGAGGCAGAGCCTACTCTTGTAGCGGCCGCCAGTCTCTTTAGCAAACTGGGCTTCCGCCTAATCATCTGGCTGGGATTCCGATTCAGGGTCGCGAACCCTGGCGGGGACGATACGACCCTCGAGTTCCTCGGCAAAGTCTTCGACGAGCTAGCTGCAGCTATTTCAGCTGCATGCGGAGTATATACGCTTTAGTATTTTTTCACCGAATATTGTGGAAAGACCTGAGACAGGCATAAACGTGTGTTTCAGAAATTCGCCTCGTTTTGAAGTATAAAAAAGGAACTTCCTTTGGAAAATTCAACAAAAAATTGAAAAAAACAAGTTCTGTACTTTTTTCAAGTTTCTGCATTGAATGAGCTCCGCTGCATTTCTACTAGCGAACTAGAACTAAGAAATGAGCTGGATTAAACATAAGACTCGCTGAAAAACAAGCATCAGAGCAAAGCCCGGAGCCATCTAAAGATGACTGAATTTGAATTAAGAGTAAACCTGAAAAAATGATAAAAAGCTGAAACATTGATCAACATTCATTATTTCGATGAGGTCAACCAACTTTATTCAACTTGGTCTGAAATTCTAAAATATTTGTCGACACTGAGACAAGTGTTCGAATTTTTTAAATTTAAATCACGACCATTAGGGCTTTAAAATCATATTATACTTAACGAGTTGTTCTTGACATAGTCAAAATTGATATTCAATTTTCAATTGCTGGAAAAAACTGAAAACAGGACCTAATCCTTAGTTCATTTCCTGTCTTTGAGAGTGCTTGGAACAACAAAATTTTTTTGATCAAATATCTGATGATTTTTAATATTTGAATCTTAAAAAACGAAACATGGAAATTTTTACTTGCAACGATTGATCTTGAGGCTACGGGGTGATATGAAGTTGAAATTTTGGCCAGCTTACGATTATTCAATTTTCTTAATGCGGTTCACTTCTATTCTCCAGTATCGCTTAAAAATCGCCCTTTTTCAATTTCAGCAACTTATATTCATATGAAATAAGAGCCCTGTTGGTTGTAATTTGAGCTCAAAAAATGAAAACGTTCAATGTCACGAAATTTTGGTCTGAAAATTTCTGATAAGACGAATTTTGTTGAAGCTGACTTCATCGCATTTATTTTAGTTGAGCAATGAAGCGCGAACCTGGTTGATCAATTATTACTCTTAGATTTTTTTCTCATTATGCTTTGATCATACGCTTTGTTCATTAATTTTTTCCAAATTGCACGTTATTCGTTTTTCGACTTAGTTAATTTTGGTCCATTGTTTTGGGTAGTTTTTTTGTAATAGGAGATTTTGGTATGGTATCTATCGTCCTCAAGCGTTATGGTAAAGGTTCCATAGACAAGTCGGTAAAATAAGTTAAGGTCATTCTTTTCTCTTCAAATATACGTTTTTTTGGTGATCTAGTCTAGTTCATTGAGCTCATTTTGTGCGAGATCTAGTTGGGTTGCCGTATAAAATACATCCTCAACAGCTAAGTCCCTTTTTGGACTGCTTTAGAAAGTTAATGGCAAGTATCAAAGTCAGTGCCAAGTCTAGCTCGCGAGATGAAAATAAATGAGTAATAATTATTTACTTTTTTTTCACCAATTTTGTAAGGTATGGGGTGGTAAATTGGTAATATGGGATGAGTAGAGCGCAAGATTTTGCAATTAAATCCGGTTCAGAAGGAATTTTTAAATGAGTTGAAGCACGCGCTTACTGATCCAAACTTTTGGTTTTAAAAGCGAATTGTATCACTTTATAGTTTTCGTTAGGCAAGATTTTCAAGAAAAAAAAAAGAATTTCGAGATTTTCGTTTTATCATATTTTTCAGCAAAAACTAATCGAGTCATCTCTAGGAACAGTACGAATTCTCAAGGTTTTGCCGTGATACAAGCAGTCGTGTTTTTCGTTCTAACCATTAGCATAAATAACATGGATAAGAAAGCGCAACTACTTTTCTCTGAAAATGAAATTTTCGTGAAGTCCTGTCTAAAGTTATGGTTATATGGTATTTCAAACCAATATTATATCGTACGCGGCTTGTTTTTTATACATTGTTTGTAATTTAATAGAGACTAGCTACTTAGTCCAAAGGTAAAGTATATAGAGCGCGAACGATTAAATTTTCTTTTTAAAATTAAGTGAAACGCTGTCAAAAAAAGGAAAACTTTCAACAATTTTTCTTGAAAATTTCTTAACAAAAAATCAAATCATGAAACATTTAAAGGTAATCGGAGCTTTCAAACTTTCGATCTAAACTGAGAATTTAATATTGTGATTCAATATTAATAGATCTAGAGTATCTTTGGGTGAATTGGTTCTATGGAGGATTGATTTATGGGGGTTAATATTCTGGGTAATTTGATTCGCGTCGTTCAACCTGGAGAATTTAATCCTAGGCTCAGTTTTGGAAAGACTAAAATCGGCAAATCGAGGGTAGCTAGAAAAACGTTTGCAGCCGAACGAAAGTTTGACAATGATAACCAAAGTTGACTGACCCTTAAGCTGGGGACTGATTTCGCCGTTTCCCCGGCCTCGACTGAGGGACCGGAACTTCCTGGAACTGCGACTGGCAAGAGAACTTCCCCTGCTGGAACTGCGTCCTCTCAGTCCCCCTTCTTCCTGCTTCACACGCATTTCAGCCGCCCTAAGTCACAATTCTTGTTTGAACTTTAAATCAACCCTTGCTCTCAAATTTTTAAGTCATTTGACAAAAACGTATAATTAACATGTTTCTAAAGCAGTTTATTTTTGGCCGTGTATTTTGACGGTTTATTTTGCAGTGTATTTTTATTAAAATGAATCAAATACCAGCAGTACCTTAAGCTCAATCTCGCATTTTGACTCAAAAATAAAAACCTATTTTGACTAAAAAACCTATTTTATGCTTCTGTTTAATATTTTTCGGTGTCTCAATTTAATTAAAGGCAGGGGCGGATTTAGGGGGGAAGGGCGGGTGGGGGGCGGACGCCCTTCCCCTTCAGGGATTCGACCCCCTGCCAACCCAAAGGGTCCCCCCTTTGGTACTTTTTAAGAAATCCATTTTTGGCTTAAAAGTGCCCAAAAACGGCTTTTTTGACCTGGTTTTTCAAAAAATTGCCTGCGGCGCAGAAAATTTGCCCAAAACAGGGTTTTTTAATTGCTTTGGGAGAGCTCGGAAAATCAATCTGATCGACCTAAAAAAAAAAAAAGGTCGTCAAAATTTTCGAAAATTTTTTGAAAATCCGCCCCCCCCCCCTCGAGAAAATCCTAGATCCGCCCCTGATTAAAGGTCTCAATTTAATTGATGAAAGAAAACAAATATTATTATAAATTGACCGGTGGATATTTAGATTCTTAATTCATAAATGCAGAAAAAAAACCGACCGGGAAACCAGTCAAAAAAGTCGTTTGTATCGCATGGAGAAAAACAATTTCTTTTAAAATTTTTTATTCAGAGGCAGAGGAATATGATGTATGCGGGGTTAGGTGGGAGGGGGTGGGATGGTTTTATTTATTTACCTGGCCTGATTGGGGATGAGGCCGGACTCCATGTCCTTAAGAGATGACTCATTCACTCTGCTCGCATGGTAGCAGCCCTCGTTCCCCCTTCCTCCGGGCAGAGTGTCGGTCACATGGAGCACGTCGTATACACCGAACGAGAGGAACCCCTCCCGCCCCACATTGTACACGAAGTGCACTCGGATGTAGAACGAGTCTCCCGTCGTGTTTCGATTGTTGAACTGTCGGAACCCTGTTATTATGTAATCATTATGTTTATTTTGCAACCATTTCTTAACAATTACTTAGTAATCGTACAAAAAGTTCATGTCAGCAAAATATTACAACACGAAAGCTTTCTCGTTTTTTTTCTAACGTGTTATGACGACAATAATTGAAAAAGTAGACCAACAAATTTCAAAGCGGTCGCTGGTTTTGGGTTTTCGCTATACGAAGTTTTGTGAATTATGAGAAATTGTTGGCTCGGGTTGTTATGCTCTTTTGCAACAGTTCAGAGTTTCTCAAAACAAACTAATCAAAGTTTTAAAATAAAAGGAAAAAAATTCGTTTGAGTACCTTACGTTTGGAGCCCTTTTTGTAAGCTCTTTAAAAATAAGTAAGTACTAACCTATACCATTTTTGAAATGATTACAATCTAGTTTTTTTTTTACTGAACTAGTCTCTAAGTTCAATGATTGCTTGTAATTTCTCAGCAAACTTCAAAGATAGTCTCACCTGTGTTCTCAAAAATGGAGAGTTGTATAGTTGCTGTAATTTAAGAAACTTTCCAGCTTTGATCACGTTAGTCACACTATCTTTGAAGTTGGCTGAGGTGAAAAAAGTGCATTTAAATTTGTACTTTGTGCGGCCACCTTACAAAGTTTGTAAGAAGGTTGGGCTCTTTTCCAGTTTCCCCCCCCCCCTTTTCAAATTTAATTTTGAAAAGCTTATTTAACGTTGTCATAAATGCAATGAAATTTGGCGTGGTGAACAAATCGACAACTGTGAACAGATTTGTTCTTCATACTTTACAGCGTAACATCACGCATTTAGCCGTAATACCACGTAAATCAAACATAAAACTCGGTATTTTGAAAGGGGGGGAACTGGAAAAGAGCCGAAGGTTGGTTTTATAATGAATTGTCAAAAGTATCAAGATTATCCTAAATTCTTTAATCCGGAAGTTGAAATCTGAAATTTCGGATAAAAATACAAACTTATCAAGTTAAGCCTGCGAAAAAAGCTCGTGCAAAATCGCATATTGAGGGAACAAGCTGAAAGCTTTGTGTTACAATAAGTACCTTTTTAGTTTAAATTCCCAACTAACAATTTTTGATTCAACTTTAATTTTAACTTGATATTTGAAATTTTGACTAAGGTGTATGTCGATGACTATTCCGATTGGCCATTTTCAGCTCCGATAATAGAACGCTTATTATACTCATATTCGTTATGCTGATATCTTAAACTTCAACTAGTCTTATTTCCTATCATTTAAAATCTACTAGTTCTAGTTTCGTTTTACTATAAAAATCGAAAAATTTTGAGCGAAAAAAAAACAAGTTAGTTAATCTTTCGTTACCCTCTTGATTTCTGCGGACAACGACATCGAACTCGGACTTGGTGGCCTGCAGAGCGCGCAACACTTGTTCACGAGTCAAATCAGTCGTCTTCTGCTCGACCACCTGCACGATCTCGTCCCCGGCCGCCAATCCCAGTCGTTTGGCCTGGCT